TACTAGTACATACATATACTAGTACACACACACACACACACACACACACACACACACACACACACACACACACACACACACACACACAAACACGTCCTGCAGCTGTGTGCTTCACAGGAAGATAAAGTCCCTGATGAGTGAGAATGTCTCAAATCTATGAATTTGAATAACACAAGGTAAAAACATAGATTATGTCTCTGTGACAGGGTAAAATTAAACCAGCCTCACTGATATGGACAATCATAGTGATTTATGTTTTGAGATAGATAGATAGATCGATAGAGAGAGAGAGAGAGAGAGAGAGAGAGAGAGAGAGAGAGAGAGAGAGAGAAAGAGAGAGATAAATTAATATGGAGGTATATGCATCTGAATATTTTCATTAACTTGTGTTTTAACCTTATATAATTAAAGTATGTAGCTGTATATAGAGTTGTTAAATGGGCCTTACTTTTTCCAGCTTACTCTTTAGTGATTTATACATCAATGATCATTAAGCATTTAGGGATATAATATAGATTAGTGGTTATATGGTCCAATTATATTTATATGCAAATACAATAATTCAAATAATTAGTTTATCATTAGCTTTTAGTACTTCAGATTTTGAATGCAGGAGTTATATTTCTACACTGCAGCATTTCTATTTGTACTAAAGTAAAATATCTGAATACTTCTTCCACATCTGCTAATTTATGACTAGAATAAAGTGCATTTCCGTAGCTTCCAAAGTGAATAACCATAGGGAGTTATTTCCTGTGTTGTGCCTGTCAGGCATTGACATCCAATCCCATGTGCTATGATTGACAGGCTAGTGACCAGTCGATGACTGCGTCTCTAACCTAAACCTAAGGATTGAAATGTGATTGGTGGAGCCTGTATGGGGCGGTAAAGGAAGTTGAGTAACAAGAGAGGAGGCTTTTCCTGAGAGAATTTACTCTGGGCACTAAAACACCTTACTGAACACCGTCAGTTGACTACTTATCTACCATTTTGTATCTCTACAGCTTTTCAGACGAAGTTGGTCATCGACGAAAAAGGAAGCAAATATGCGTTTATCCACTACATATGTTTGTTTGCGCCGTTAAATAAACCAAATTACAGTTTGACTTGTTAGGATATCTTGACATTAGAAGCAGTCGGCTGACTGTTGTTCTTGTATCGTCGTGTCATCTTGTTTACGTTTTCTAAGCTAACGGCGTTAGACACTTAGCTTAGCTAGCGACCAACGGTCCAAGCGTTAGCTTTCCAAAGCTAACTAGAGACTGCTGAAATGGCGGCCAACACGAAACAAACAGCCCCTACAACAAACTGGTAGGTCGCCCTTTCTAGCATTAGGAAACTCACAACAAATGCCGGATTACATACATATAATGTAGTTTAAATCTATAAGGCTAATACATGGTATGATATGGTAGACATAGCCTTCTATAATCTCACTATACTCTAAAATAACCTTTGCTCATTTTAGGGTGTTGACTAAAGATAGCATACCTAGCTACAACAGGCCATAGGTTTTGTTTACTGAAAGCTAACCCGTTTGCTTCTTCACGTGGACATTTTTATTGTTCAGACTATACTTAATTATTATTTCGTTATGGACGATAGGGTTTGGCGTAGCAATCTTTAATGTCAATGTATTATCTTAACGCTTCATGTTTGAACAGTAATGGCTTCCCGTTCAAAGGCTAACATTAACATGGAGAGCTGTTGGTAGGGTGATTAGGCAACGGTTAACAGTAGATGGAATAGAACGTTCCGTCAACTGCTAAGTGGGTCACAGTGAAAGTAACAGTTTGAACCTACAGTTGTTAACTGTTGGCTGTCGTACAAGCTACGCCTGTATAACGCAAGACGGAACGCGATACACCAAACCTGTTCAGTTAACACGTTGTACATTTGTTTTAATATCATGTTAGTTGTGTTATTATTAGATTATCACTGTGATACCTAACCTCAATACTTGTAAACTGATCATATCAAAACTTTTGTATTCCTTATACACAATTGTTCTTCTGTTGGTGGCAGGTCCTTTGGAGGTGCTGGAGATGGCCAGGTTCGCGAAAACCCAGAATGGGAGAAGGCAAGACAAGCACTAGCGTCCATTAACAAGAGTCAGAGCGCTGCTAAGAATGCACAAGCCAACCGGACAGCCACAGCAGAGGTGTGCTTTTAGCTCTGTGTCTCTATCTGTTATTTGAGTTGGCATTGTAATGCATGTTAGTTGATCTGCTGACAACCCGAGATCTAAAAATATAAATATCGAGATCTAAAAATATAAATATCGACACAAAACATCTAAATGTCAAAAAAGAAAATAAGGTCCAGCACCATTTTGTCTGCTCATTTGCAGTGACTGCATTTGCATGTCCTGACTATATTAAACCATCATCCTGCATTTTTTGGCGTGCAAGTTTGTCCAGTAATCGTTGCGTCTCATATTCAGGAATCGTTGATAGTGTGGTTTACATCCAGGCCTATATCTTGGAACCAAAAGTTAATTTGATGCAGTTGTAACACACTACAAACTTGATGTTACATAATAATCAGTAGGAGTCATTTTTGGTATGTGATTTTAAATGGATCCTTGATTTTTGTACTGGATTAAAATGACAATTCTATTTTATGTATGTGTGTAATTTCAGGCCGGTCAGTTTCAGCCAGCAGTGACTGACTCAGCTGCCGTTCAGACACCGCAGCAGCCACCGCCACCTCAGCAGCAGCAGCAGCAGCAGCAGCAGCAGCAGTACTATCCATGGTACCAGCAAACTCAGCAGCATTATCCTGGATACACATACCCCTATAATTACTACTACCCCGTGGCTCCAGTAAGTACAGATCATGATTTGTTTCCTATCAATATTTTTACAATAATAATATTTCATACAAATTCATTTACTGCATTAAACAATGTTTGCTAAAAGGCTCATATCTCCTAAAATGGGGTTCTCTGTATTTTTAGTATGGAGCTGCATATCCACCAAATCAGTATGGTACACCCCCAGGGCCTTACCCAGGAGCTCCCACCCCTAATGGACAGGTATTGGAATTAGAAGTTCTTCACAGATCCCCTAATAATGTCACATGTATTATTATGGCCCTTATTTGGTAATAACAGTTTGAACATTTGGTGAAATTGACTTGGGGTGTAAGGCCCCAATCTTTTTTGTAGCTTCTACTACATTCTTACTCTTCAAATAGTTGCTGAAATAGCTTTTTCTGTTTTTCTTTTCAAAGCCTCCTCCAGTGCCTGGAATGGAAGACCAGTCCCCCGGCTACCCAGCCCAACCTCCTCCCCCTTCCACTACCCAACCCCCCCAGAGCCCTACCACCTCCGACAAACCACCTCCTCCTCCCCCCCCATCTATACCTCCACAATCCAACTCCCAGTACCCCACTGCTCCATCACAAAATGCTTATGGTGGCAATAACTCCATGCAATACCCACTTGGTGACTCCAACCAAATGCAAGTATATAATCATTCCCAGGGTAGGCCCAACTATGGACAGGGTTTCCAGGCCCAGAACTCCTATCAGCCCCCACAGAATAACAAGCAGCAGCAGCAGCAACAACAACAACAACAACAACAACAACAGCAGCAGCAGCAGCAGCAGCCAGGCCAGTATGCACCAGGGCTTGGCAGAGGAGAGGCCAACAAAAACAAAAACCAAAATCAAGGACAGCAGCTGTGGCACCGCATGAAACGTAAGATTCTGCATTACTTAACTGTTATTCTCTGATGCAGTTTACACATATATTGCTGTAATTACAGGCTTTTTTCAATAAAAAAAATATCTTTGACAATACGGAAATATAATTCAAAGGTGTTTAGTATTAGATGGGGTTTAAAGGTGAATCTGGGACCTATTGTGTACTTCTACATTCCGGATCCAAACATCCAGACTTTTTATACTATATAAACAAAGTTTAATTATTCTGTATCTCAGTTCAGGTTCCACAATTTCCCCAGTGGTTATTTAGTTAGTTAAATATGTTTGTCCATACACCATGACACTTCTAACTAATTTCCACTTTCTGTTGTTTCTCACAGAGGCACCTGGTGCAGCTGCTATGAAGTTCAACATTCACAAGAGGCCTTATCAGGTTCAGTGTTCTCCAATTTCCAATCAGACTTTCCCTCCAGACGAGCAGCCCTCAGGATTAAATCCTACTCCTTCCTCCCTGGCTTCTGCCAGTTCCCCGCCTGGCGGTGCTCAGATGCGGTACGAACTGGTCTGTCCCAATAGATTAAAAAAGATGAATCAGTTTAGAATATGTTGACTCAAGATGTTTTTCTCTCCAGACCCCAGGACTGGCCCCAAGCCATGAAGGAATATGTGCAGCGCTGCTTTACAGCCTGTGAGTCAGAGGAAGACAAAGATCGTACAGAGAAGGTGTTGAAGGAGGTTCTGCAGGATCGGCTGAAGGACGGCTCTGCTTACACCATCGACTGGACCCATGAGCCATTGCCAGAGTGAGTGGATTTATGTTTGACCGGTTTATTTATTTTATTTATTTCAGCTTCAAAATGTACTTGACATTAGTTTTCCAGATAAATTCAGACGTAACGTAAAAACGTAACTGTATTTTGATTTGGTTTCAGCTAAGTTGAAATGTGGCTTTATATTAAATGAGTCCCCCCGTAATGGTTTGATGGATTTCTTTGTTCTGAATACTTTTGAACTAACTTGTTTTTGTTCTTATTGCAGACTAAAGGCCAAGCCCTCTCGTTGGGAGACTCTTGCATCCCAGAGGACAGCTGATGGCTCAGTTAGCCGTGGTGGAAGTACACTGGCTGCATCTCCAAGAGGCAGGGGTGGTGCACACCGATTGGGCCACTACAGGAATATCTTTTCTCAGAGGAGTCCATCTTCTAGTTCCTCTCATTCATCCTCTCGCTCCCCATCCCCCTCCTATGACCGACACAGGGACCGCAGCACCCAAAGGCACAGACGCAGGTAAGACAACATTTCCCCCGTGATCATCTTTGGTTATTGTAGGCCTGTGTATTTCTTCATTTTGAATCTTGTGTCTCCGTCCTCCTCCCAGTGACTCTGGCTCGCAGTCAGACAGCAGCATCTCCAGTGACCTCCGACCCCAGTTGTCACGACGAAGAGGTGGACGTGGTCGAGGTAATGACAGGGAAAGGGGACGTGGAGGAGGAGAGAGAGGACGTGGAAGAGGAGGAAAAGCAAATAGAGGACGCCGGTATGTAAATAAATATATAATTGCAAAACTGGAACCATTTAACAATCGATCAAAGTTTACTCATGGAGCCCGATATCACAATGTACATTTGTCTCAGGGGGCTTCACAGTTTATACAGAATATGAATACGACACCCTTTGTCCTTAGACCCTCTCATCAGACAAGGAAACACTCCCAAAGAAACCCCACAGTTATTGGGGGAAAAGGCTCTTACTATTCTCATCGGTCACTGTCCTCAAAGAGGGCGTAGGACTTCTTGACTCAATAGCAGAGGAAATAATCTCCAAATTACTTTTCTAGAAATATGGAAGACTCCAATGCAGCGGTTGGAAAGAAGAGGAAAGGGGGCAACGCCGGTGTGGATTTCCATGACCCACTGCGAGAAGCCAAGAAGCAGAGCCGAGCAGCCCGCTTCCATAAGCAGCTGCGCTCAGAGCCTCTGGTTCTCTCCATCAACTCTTTCGACCAACCGGATGGAACCCAGGAGAGCCTCAGCTGGGAGGACGTCCCCATCGTGGGGACATGCCAGGACGTCACCAAGCCCTACCTGAGGCTCACCTGTGCCCCCGACCCCTCTACTGTGCGCCCTGTGCATGTAAGTGAAACTCTTGTGGGAGATGTTTTTATGTATTCCTGTGTCAGTTATACGGTCCTCAGATGATGTTTGGCATGTCTGAGATCTGTCTCTCTTGACAGTTGTCTGAGGATACTGATAAATGGGTTGAACGTTTTTCAGAATACTTTTTACCATTTACAGGGGGTCCACGGGGTCTTAAAAAGTATTAAAAGTTGATCAATCAATTTAGCGAAAATTAAGGCTATTAAACGGCATTTTCCAAGGTATTACATTTTGTAGCTTGTTTTCAATAAGTATATAAATTGTCCAAAGAGGTTGTATTCTACAGTGTGCCTGAATGTAATCATTGCGTAGGTGTGTAGTGTGATTCTTTGTTGTTTATTTATGGCATCCTGTTGGGTTTGACGCAGAGGTGGGGACTCGAGTCACATGACTTGAGTCGCATATTTTTGGACTTGAGACTTGCTTGACTAACATTGATAAAAGACTTGACTTTGACTTGGTATTCATGACTTGAGACTTGACTTAAGCTTGAGACAGATGACTTGAAAGGACTTGACTTTTTTTAATTAAATATTTGCGTTTGTTTTTGTATTGAGATATTACGTTGAGTTTTTTTCTGCCTTTTTGAACAGACTTTTTGAGTCCTAGCTATATTGTCTGCAGTTCTAGGGTTAATATGAATCTAATATGATGATTTTCATTGGTCTAAATTAGATTTCAAATGATTAACTGTGTATGTCATGAAGATAATAGTGTGGGTTGAATCCATTTTCATAACCACTGTCTTTTAACTGAATTGAAATGCGCAAACTGCCTGGGCTTGTTCATCATCATTTTGTATGACTTGACTTGCTTGACTCATCACAGTGACTTGGGACTTACTTGATACTTGTAGGTCAAGACTTGAGACTTGCTCATGACTTGCACATGTAGGACTTACTCCCACCTCTGGGTCATAACTAACAGGAACGGAGGAATAGAAGGGTTGGTAAACCTGGACCGTTGAACATAAAAGGGTACTTGCTACAACAAATGTTGGCCGCATTGCCTGTAAGCGTTTGCGATTAGTTGGCGTCACTGCACGCTCATAGAACAGTCCAC